GATATCTTGAAAAATCTTAATTAACATTATTTTTATTCTAAGCATTTCTTTAAGAAACTTTTTGCAACTCTAGAAATTTTTTGACACTTTCTTAGTCTCCCCAACTGTCTTTGTAGCATGATGTTTTGAAAACTCTGGATTGGCATTTTTTTAAATGTAAGCATTACATTAAGAAATTTTTAAATCTTTTTTTGCAAGTCTAGAAATTTTTTAATCCAGTACATCTGACACTTTTTGTCTCCCCAACTGTCTTTTGTAGTACGATGTTTTGAAACGTCTCGATAGGCATTTTTACTACTAAATTTAAACATTTCCCTAAGATTTTTTCTTCTTTTGAAAATCAAAAAGTCAGTACATTTAACACTTTTTTTTTACTCCAAGCCAAACTAATCCGAAGTAACCCAAAGTGGCCTACCGACCTGAAGCTACTCAAAGTGACTTAAACATTATTTTTTACAATCTAAAAGACACTTTACTAAATAAAAATGAAACTCTTAATCAAATGAAATTACCGTTAAATAAAGTTATTATTATTATSCACAAGTTGGGCTCCAAAATCAAYCCACCTAAGACTAGGTTGCTAAGTAACGTAGTAACCGTTGCTATAAGTTAAATTTGTTGCTAGGTAAAATATGGCTTGTTGCTTGGCAATTAGTGTAAATTGAGGTGTAGCCATTTGGGGCATTAKGAGTGCATAAAACGTGTTGTGGATGCATTACTAATGAATAAATTTACAATCTCCACCCTCGACAATATTAAAATGTGTCGCACCTTCCTTAAAATTAGCATAAATTTTAATTTTCGCTAAAAGTGAGTTTTGTTTCAGGTGAAGATGATGTTTTAAAAGCGCCACCGGATTGTATGTAGGTAAGTTGAAGGGTATTAATTTGTGTGTGAAGAAAATGGAAGTTTTCTTTCCGGTGTCGYGGTCGTAAATTACATTTTGGTATAAACCCGCCTACAAATTGAATATTAGATTGAAGTTATTCACGCCGGTGTCTGAATACGGTTTGGTTTACATTCAACATGATAAATATCGAGACATCGCCACAAGGATTAATCCCGTTCTAGCCCGGGCAAGTTTCGCAGGACATCCTTCTCGATAATGCGACTTGACACACACGGGATTAAATTATGCCACAAATTGACACATTTGGTAATTACGCGATGTTGGGATTAAAGGTCGATCACCTTTTTTGATATTTTACTATTGTTCGGATTGGAAGTAAAAGTCAAGGCTGAGAATTGAACGAAAATCTCCGCTCGATTTTAAGGTTTTTGTTCAACGCAACAAACGGATTTTTAGTATCAACTCACAAACTAGTTTAGTTGTTTTCAAAACAAAAAAAAAACAAGTTTTTTTTTCCAATGCAAAAAACACATATTTTTGTATGAACCCACAAACTGGTTTAGTTGTTTTCAAAACAAAAAAAAACAACGATTGGGTCACAAACCAGGTTCGAGTTAAACAAAATTAAAAATAATAAAAATTTTCTGAAATATTTTTACATCGCGTGGTTAAATTGTTCTAATATGCTAATTATTGTAAATAATTTTATCATAAAAATGTCATGGTTATAATAAAGAATAAGTAATTAATGAATAAGTGTGTGAAGCAAGCTGGTTTAGTGTTATTTTTACGACTTACATTATTCTTTCGTATCTGATTTATTTTCAGGGTGAGTCATTGTTGTTTGACCCTTAATAAATTTACCCAAGTAAATTATTTTGCTTTTACGTAAAAAAATGTTAAAATTTTTACTATGCAACTAAAAATGTAATCAATGTTTTCAATAATTGACCCAAAATTTTGGGATTTTTTACGATATCTCTGGAAAGAACAAATCTATTTAAAAACCCTTCTAGCTTATTTTACATTAGAATTACTAATTTTGATTAAAGTTTTTTTCAAAAATTCTTATAGAAATAGCCAATTGTTACTATTTTCAAAAATTGTTCCAAAATCTTGAGTTTTTTGGCAATGTCTTAACCATATAACCTTTCAGATTTAGATTTCCGGACTCATTCTACTTGAAAATCACTGGTTTTGATTATATTTTTTGCAAAAATGTTAACAAAAATGACCAATGTTTGCTGTTTTTAAAAACTGACTCAGAATTTTCGAACCCTAATCAAAAATAATTTTTAGATTTAGATACTCTGGCACATTCTACATCAAAATGACTGATTTTGACTAAATTTTTCGAAAAATTGTCTATCAAAAGTACCCAATTTTTAAATTTTTTAAAATTGACCTAGAATTTTGACATTTTTGACCACATTTCTGAAATGATCAAACCTAATAAAAATCACTAATTTATTTGATTAATTTTTGTGATGTCAAAAACAGCCAATTTTTAGCATTTTTAAAAAATGACAAAACATTTTGGAATTTTTTGCAATATCTTTTGAATAATCGGTCCTAACCATTAACTCTTTAGGTTTAGATTTCTTGGCAGTCAAAAAACTGTTTGTTTAGACTGAAGCATTTTTTTTGTTTTTTAAATGTTGGTTTAGCATTTGAAATGTGGCCCTTAATAAATTTACCCAAGTAAATTATTTCATTTTGCGTAAAAAAATATTAAAATTTTTACTATGCAACTAAAAATGTAATCAATGTTTTCAATAATTGACTCAAAATGTTGGGATTTTTTACAACATCTTTGGAAAGAACAAATCTAATTAAAAAACCCTTCTAGATTTAGATTCCCTGGCTTATTTGACATTAGGATAACTAATTTTGATTAAAGTTTTTGCAAAAATTGTTATAGAAATAGCTAATTGTTACTAGTTTCAAAAATTGTCCCAGAATTTTGAGATTTTTGCCAATATCTTTTCTCCTAACCATATAACTCTTTCAGATTTAGATTTCAAAAATTATTTTACTTGGAAATTACTGATTTTGATTATATTCTTTGCAAAAATGTTAACAAAAATGATCAATGTTTGCTGTTTTTAAAAACTGACCCAGAATTTTGAAATTTTGACCATATTTCTGGAACGAACAATCCTAATCAAAAATAATTTTTAGGTTTACATTCTACATCAAAATGACTGATTTTGACTAATTTTTTCGAAAAATTGTCTACCAAAAGTACCCAGTTTTCACCATTTTCTAAAATTGACCAAGAATTTTGAGATTTTTGACCATATTTCTGAAAGGATCAAACCTAGTCAAAATCACTAATTTATTTGATTAATTTTTTTGATGTCAAAAATAGGCAATTTTTACCATTTTTAAAAATTGGCCTAGAATTTTGGGATTTTTTGCAATATCTTTCGAATAATCGTTCCCAATCACCAACTTTTCTGGGTTTAGATTTCTTGGCAGTCAAAAAATTGTTTGTTTAAACTGAAGCATTTTTTTTGTTTTTTGAATGTTGGTTAAGCATTTAAAATGTGGCAGAATTACAGGGTAACCCTTAATAAATTTATCCAAGTAAATTATTCCATTTTGTATAAAAAAATTTAAAATTTTTACTATGCAACTAAAAATGTAATCAATATTTTCAATAAGTGACCCAAAATTTTGGGATTTTCTACGATATCTCTGGAAAGAACAAATCTAATTAAAAAACCCTTCTAGACTTAGATTCCCTGGCTTATTTTACATTAGAATGACTAATTTAATTAAAGTTTTTGTTAAGATCTTCGACAGTGTTTATTAATTTAATTAGTGCAGTTAGTAGTGCAAAATGTCGATTGCTTGGGTGAAAAAACATTATTTTTGCTTATGACATTTTAGTCATAAAAATGGTCACTTTTGTGACGTTTGCAAATAAATGATTTTCTCATGCGAAAACCAAGACCGATGCAAAATTGTTMAAAAATTCGTATTAATTTTCACCAGAACAAATATTTGAATGAATAAATCGGTGTTTTAACCAAGTCCAAAATTTCTTTTCCATTTGTGGGAGTATTTACATTTGAACAAAATAAACATCCATACATTTCCGCTGTTGTACTACAACCCGTACAACTTTTTATTACCTTTATTGTAGACTTGGGATCGGTTGAATTTATATCCCCTATCAGCTCCAAACACATTGTTTCTTATTTTCCTTATAAATTCAATCGTAGAAAAAAAATCAAATTTATGGTCACATATTGGTGAAGAGAAATGCTTTATTTATAAAGCAATTAAAGTAATTTGAACGCAAAACAATCATTCTTCTTAATTACGCCGTCCGGGAGAACAATCAAATTTAACACGGGTCGTGAACTAAGACAGGACTGGACTTAATAGAAAATAAAACCACACCCTAAAACACAACAGCGGAAAATTAATTTTACCTGACCTACCCTTAATCAGGCTCTGGAAACTTCGCTAATTGGTGACGGTTGGAATAGGGGTATCGTCGTCGATTTGCATCACAAAAGGGRCCGTTAACTCGATGATATGAATAGTGATTAATAAGGCTCGGATTATATGCACGAAAAATTCGTAAAATATGCGCATTTTCACAAAAATATGCACAAAATATTAAGAAATATCCTCC